AATAGATCCCTTGGTAGGTACCTATATCGTATTTAAAATCGAACGATGCACAGCCGGCTACTTTTCTTTATTTATTCCGCCACGTTGACATATCGAAAGTCAAGTAGCCTGTTTCCGAGTTAAGTGTAGTAAAAAAACAAAGATGTAGCGAATAATTTATGGGCGTATTGCTTTGACATTTAAACGGGCTCAGATCAAATTACATCTTCTGGAGTTTCTGTTTTATGTTCTGCTTTTTCTGATAATTAGGGAATTCTTTGTAAATTGCTCCTCGAAATAAATGCGTTTTTCCTTAACTCGGGACTTCATTAACTATCAACATGTTTTTAGGGTTATTGCACAATTTATTATGGCCATGAATCATGTTTTTTTTTTCTAATAAAAAATATGGCGCCGTATTTATTACATACGTTCGTAGGTACCTACATAGGTAGGTAATTGTAATTAAAAATAAAGTTATATTTCATAAAATATTATTTATAAATTTGTAACCAATTATTGGAATATTATTTTCTTAAACTAATTTTAAACGTTTTAAAAACAAAAATTTGAATATTCATGAACCCTAAAAATGTCAATTTTATAGCACAATATGGTACTGAAAGCTAAAACAAAAAAGAATATTTCTGGACAGTACATAAACTGCTTGACTAAAGACTTTGTTCTATTCAAAGTATCCCAAACAGTTTCACCGTTGACATGATGACAAAAGGAATTTCCCATTGTTCCTTTTTATTATTTTTTTCACTTTGGTTTTTTAACTTCTCTTTTCTTGATCGCGTCGTGCTTGTATCTCGCTCTCGGCCTCCTGTTGAGTCAACTCGATCTACCGACTAAATGGCCCAAGATGGTCTTTAAATTAATTTAGGTGGATAAATAAAGTTCTAATAGTTAGTAAATAAAAAAGTAATATTATTCATAAGTCTGTTACCTATAATAAATTATAATTTTAAAATGAAATAAATAAAAAAATAGAGTAACATAATGTTTATATTTTATTGTTTGTTAGTTGGTAGATTTTGTCCGATCATTATAGTTGTTTGAAGCACAGTGTTTCTATGGAACTGCAGTTAAGTGGGGTTCAGTGAGCGTGTACCACAAATATTTTTTATGAAATTAATTTATGCGCCATGTTTGGATTATAAATTACCGACTACACAGAAACCAAAATCATCGGCATTCATTTTTGTTTGTTTATTGGGCTCTTTAACATGTCCACATTATAATGCCATCTTTATGTTTGCTTGTGTTTTTAGTCTTTTTTTGGGATCTACCCTAGCTTAAGGCAAGTTTACATGTTAATAAATTATAATCAACGATTTGAATGCTAAGATGAAAGAACGTTGTAACCAAATATGTTTTTATGCAATAAAATCCATATATATTTCTAAAACTAAACCAATAATTTTTTATATATAAGTAGACATTTTTATAGTTGGCAGTCTTAGCTTAAATTGAAATTCTTAAAACAGTTTTATCTAGCTTAAGTTGACATTCTTAGACGGCCATATTTATAGATAAGTGAATTAAAAAGTAGCCACACTTGAATTAATGTATACATTAATTCATTATAATGACATTACTTTTCAGAGGAAATTAAAAAATTCCTCAAGTTATTTTTAGCCACTTTTTTACGAATATTGACATTGCACGTGAAATGAAACGAGAGCCGAGTTCCGCCACTGCAGTGACATGTTTTGAAAAATAAACACCACCTCGCTACCGGGTTAATAACAAACAGTCAAACATCCCTTTTGGGTCTGAGGCGACAGAGATTTCGTTGGCGCCTACAAAATCATGTCTGGCCAAGAGTGCCACTTTATGGTTCTAAGTGATTTTCAGTGACTTTATCACAATCGTTGCACGCATCCGGCGTGACTAAAGCACTTTTAATTGCTCCTCGACTTTTTCTTGCCTTTTCTTTATCTCCACCATAAACAACGAAGATGCTTTACTTTGCTCCGTCAAGATAAAGTTTATGTATTGGGTAAGTCTAAATCTACATAAATTAAACAAATATTAACATTTAATATTTTTTTCTAAAATATAAATTTTTCAATAAAGGTTTAGGTAAAATACTTAAAGTACACAATCCATATTACAAATTCATTTAAACTATAAACAAACTCTTTAAATAACAAACAAATTGTTATATTAGTTAATACCTGCATTATAATCTCGAGTTCTATTTCAAGTTTATGTCTGCCTTAATCTAAAAATAGAATCAGTGCATACAGTAATTTAATACTCATAATAATCAAGCAAATGCGGAAATTTATTATTGTATACAATCTGATATTATGTTATGATCCACAATAAAACATACTTAAAGTTACAATAATTGTTGCAACTAGAAATTTAAACAAACGGTTTTTCTTTAGATAAAAAACATGACATGCCATTAACTTCTTATTTTTGTTCGATTTTTGGCATACTAGTTAAATGTTGCATGAACAGTTGACTACAAAGTCTTTAAATTTAAAATAATGACACAGGATATGAAAAAGTGACTTAATGCTTTAACTTGAAAAAATAAAAAATAATGAAGAAAAATACGCATGTTTTGTCTATAGCCAGTCATTGCGAATTAATGAAAGAGCACAAGAACGAAATGGGTTTTTAGAATTCTAAAATAAGAATAGGTAATTGCCAGTCGCATTAACTCTTAATAAAAAGTTTCGTAGATCAAACATTAAATACAATTTTAATAGATTTCTTATTGCCAAAAGTTTATAGTACTTAAAAAAATCTGTGAAATCTAAATTGTTCTTGTCTTTATATTTCAATCACTTGGCTGCACAAGACAGCCTTTATTTATTTATTTACATCGAGTGGATTGCTAGTTAATATATTCATTGATTTCAATAGGCTTCGACATGAATGTTAAACTGTTTTATTTCAACAGTGAATGTGCCAATTTATTATACGCACTACTATTTGACTTTTTTTCTTTCGTTTAAAGCACATTTTTTTATCGAAACAAACCGAAATTGCGTTATATAAACTTTTTACGCATTTGTTTGACTTATACTGTTTTATTTACAGTGTAATGATAATAAAACACAGGACCCAAACAAACACTGCATCTTTTAACTATTAAATTAGGTTTTATTTATAAACAAACAACTGCATAATATATTATGCAGTTGTATACAGTTTTTTATGAAGGCAGGCACCTTTACCTAAACTAAGTATTGTAAGTCAATTATCTTGAAAAGAAAAACCTTTTAGGTACTTAAGTTCGTGGAAGTCTAGTGTTTTTAGAAAAACAGTGGCGTCTAAAAGAGGAATATAAAATATGGTTACAAATTTTATTCGAAATATTGCAAACATATCATATTTTATATTTCCAATTAAAATATTTTATCTAAGTCTCTACAAATTTATTATCTTGGAAATATTTTAAGTACCTACCAATCAATTTCCCACGTTATAAATTTAAAATATTCAATTGGAATTTGTATATGAAAACATATGAATTTTTAATTTTTTACTCGCATTTTTAATCAAACGTAGATTCTTTGGTTTTATAAAATTTTAATTAATCATTATCGATAATACGGGTGACATTCACAATATCGAAATTCATTATATCGAATTCAAAATATCGAACACTTTTTATCGAAAATCAAAATATCGAAAATACAAAATGTCGAAGATCAAAATATCGAAAATTCAAAATGTCGAAAATGATAATATCGAAAATTAAAATGTTGATTTGAAAATGTCGAATAATTAAAGGTAGTGTCTCCCCGACCGTCGGACGGACGTAGAAAAGTGTGTGCTCGACCGTCGGACGGACGTAGAAATGTGTGTGCTCAACCGTCGCATATTTTAACCTCATTTTCAACTAGAGGCTAAATGTAGCAAAGTATTCCTCAAGGTTATGACGAATAGCTGTCATTTTGGTTATGCAGGTACACTGCATTGTGCCATACCAAACTAACCCAAACTTAACAACCCAACCCAACCGACCCCGCCCCATTGGGCCCCTCCCGTCCCATTGTCACAATCCAGCCTGCCCTTAGATATATTATACCTCTATTGCTCAATGGGGCGGGAGGGACCCAATGGGGCGGGGTCGGTTGGGTTGGGTTGTTAAGTTTGGGTTGGTTTGGTATGGCACAATGCAGTGTACCTGCATAACCAAGATGACAGCTATTCGTCATAACCTGTATGACAGCGGTCGAGATTTTATTTTCGATAAATTGAAAATTCGATTAAATAAAATTTCGACATTTTCAAATCGACATTTTAATTTTCGATATTATGATTTTCGACATTTTGTATTTTCGATATTTTGATTTTCGATAAAAAGTGTTCGATATTTTGAATTCGATATAATGAATTTCGATATTGTGAATGTCACCCCGATAATACATTGTCGTATAGGTACATATGCTACGGAATAGGTTGTTTAGGAGAGAATAAGATTTTTTTTTAATATTATTTTTATGTTATAAAAAATATATAGGTGTCTATAAATAATATTAATTATTTTTCTATACTATATCTTACTTTCACCTGGTCGGAACTTTATGGGGGTCTTAGGTAATGCGTATGGGAACCAAAATAATTAACTGCCTGAACATTTCGACATAAAACGGTAAAATTTAAATAAAATTTGTCGCTTTTAGCTTAGACAGATGACAAACGGTTAAGTGTCGTGCCATACGCGAGATTTCAAATCTATAGATTTCAAATCGAATCTGCATTCGAAAGTCGCAGTCAATTCGTGAGTAAATCTCTGGGATAGTCTGGGAATTTTTTTATGGAAAGCGGAATTACGTGGAAGGCATACTTTTATGCATAACATGCGTTCAACGAGAGTTGGCAAAAAAATAGTAATATAAAGTTACTTCAGGAATTTAAATTTCCTGGTATGTTATACAGAAAAAAACTATGCGGAATTTCATACTTAGTAATTGGATCTTGTTTATTTAGTTGAAAAGTATTCTCTATACCTCAAGATGCTTATTTTCTGTTTTCCTATTTTTCAGACAACATTCGGTGTTACTGCAATCTACCCGCATGCGTTACCAAGGGTTACATGTGCAAATCCAGGGCCGGAGTTTGTTTTTCGGATTTGCTGGAGCACCCGACAAAAAGTCGACCCACGGTCTACGGAGGAAGACACGGCTGCTTAGAGCTGCTGACTGACAGGTAAAAAACATTTTAAAATAATAGTAGGTACCTACATTGTAAAATTATCGAGTTTGCGACATTTATCAGGTCTGACGTTTGACATATTATAGGTTATGGACATAAATTAAAAGATTTCAAGATTGAGCGGTAATAATGGTTGTTGCACTGAAAGAAATTTATGTTTCATATATGGACTACCACATACATTGCTAAAACAAACATATAATATATTTACCTTAACCATTTTTATATTTAGTTTTAACATATTATGTTAAAACTAAATATAATATATGTTTCTTTTAGCAATGTATGTGGTAGTCCATATATGAACCACAAACATTGCTAAAACAAACATATATTTCTTTCAGTGTGTGCTTTTAATGGTTACCAGAAGTAAATTAATAAAATATTATGACGTGAAAAGAAATTAACTTCTAAAAACTAAATAGTTTCGGTTAGCGGTACATGAATACCATGCATTAATATTTAAATACTAACTCAATGTATGGGATTTTTCACTTTCAAATTTATCTATTGGATTGGGAATGGTGAAGATTAGTGTTTTGAATAATATTTTCCCTTGTAACTTTAGTCAAATTGTTTGTCATTTAATTTATGGTCGTCGAGTTTTATATTTTACAGATTTAGTATTTAAATTTGTAGACCTTAAAACCATTATTTATATTTAGGTAGTTAATTTTTTTTCCGGATTAAATGTCAATAAAAAATATAAACAACGAGAAGGATTAATTTCGTTAATTTAAAAAAATAATGTTTAATATTCAAAAATACATATAAATAAACTAATGCAATTATAATTTCAATGCCAATTTTGCATTATTAATAAAAGTTTATCGTAAATGCCGAAATTGAATAAAATCTTGTAAACTTGAATAACAATAACTATTCATAGTTACGATTGATAATTATATCGCGGCGATGACTTCACGTACATATGCATTTTTATAGGTTACGAGGCGCCAGGATAGTTTTGCGTTGTTATTGTGGAAGTTGTGGCAGTTGTTTGTTCGCTTTTCCATGCCAATTATTTAACGGCAACGCAATCAACTATGCATGTCGAGATACCGTACGTTCCGCTTGTAAAACTACCATCGTTTTTAAATTTTACAACTTGCGTCCTCACTAACAATACGACCGCTAAATTGAGGAAGTTATTTCGCATTTCCAACGGGTAATTTTATTTCTTTATACATATTTCAGCCTTTATGCACAAGAATACTTTATTATGAAAAATGAGTTTATTACCGCATAATGGCTAGAATTTCATGCTTTTCAATGTTCGCACTGTATACCTTAAAATAAAATCATTTTACTTAAAAAATAATTTATCTATGGTTAAAAACCACCCATGAACTTTTTTATGTTAAATTAAATTACATACATAATGATCTCTGCCTTTGGAAGCTTCCGTATTTTTAAAGAAAACGAACTGTTGTTTTAGCAACAAATTGCACCAATTACCTCTAAACAGGATATAGGTGGGCACTTTTTTGCGTTTAACATCCTGCGGTGTAAACTGAGCTTGCATACATTTAAATAAATGTCCCCACATCTTCACCTATGATTTTCCCATCCTGTCGAACGCATAACGGTTAGTGCAATATTAACCTTTTCCGGCGGGTTTCTTCGGCAATTTGAATTTCCCAATGGACCTTAATGAGGATTTAATGGCGATCGGTTGAAATAAATTTCGCGTGAAACGTAGATACAAGGCCTATAAAAAGCAACGTGCAAGCGCACCCTGCTGATTTTCTTGAACCTCTCTGCATAAATTTACGACCGGGCTTAAATCGTGTTTGTTTGCCGGCTAAATTGCAACATATTTAATAACAATGTCTTGAAAATTTATATCCATACCCCAGATACCTACAAACTCTATAGAGTTTGTAATATATTATTTGTATTATGTTTAATATTTTTTGACACTCTTAAAATGGTCAAAAAATTTAACAAAATTGTGTAAACAAGAAAACTTCCACTCTTGGATCTAAACATTAAAGAGGGCAAGCCATTTTTTAATTGTTAAGTAAATAACTATTATCTAATCGACAAGAGGTGACTTTATGACCATTACTATTACAATTTCGTTGTCTCATCCATTATTGGTATCTCCAGGTATATATATATAGCTACCTATCTAAAAAATATCTTTAAAAATGTTATTTGTTTTAGTCTTATCGAGCAGCATATCGAATCGTAAAATAAACAATTTCTTTTTAATATCGTAACATTAATGAGCGTCCTATTAACATAATTCAGCATTAATAATTGCCACATTGAAAAAACGCACCATTCAAAATCAGCGTGCAGTAAAACTAGTTTTTAACTCGCTCCATATCTTTAGATGCATGCAGGAAAAATAAAGGTAAGAATTCCGCAAATATTAATAAATACTTAAAGTTATGGGTGGTATTAAGTATTGGAAATCAATTTGTGTGGCATTTTTTGGCCTCATTAGTTGAAATTCATTAAATTTGGATTTTATTTGGAGTGCGGTCATTAAATTCAAACTTCTAAATTCGTCAAAAAGCATTCGACAAATTTCCTGGCAATCGGCATTTTTTGTTGAAAAAAATCCGAATACCGAAGCCTTTTTCGAGGAAGAGACCGCGGCAACCGCAGACAGCGGAATCGAAAAAACAATCGAAGAATAATTAAATAATTAATAGAGACGACGCGTGTGTCTTTTGTCTCGGTTGACATTCATTTGTTTTGCTAATGGCTGCCGTTTACGTGATTTGTTGTTGGAAGAGATCTAAGCAGGCCGTTGGGTTTGATTGTTTTTTATTTTTTTTTTGTTTCCGAGGAAATGAATATTTATGACGGATGGTGCAGATGAAAGAACGTCAAGTCCACGAGGATTTAACGTTTTTACAACTCCAACAAATTATTTAAATATTATGCGATTTATTTATTACCTACCTACTAGTTCTTGATGGAAAAAAAGTAAATGCAAATGAAGAATGCGTATGTTTTACATACTTGATGACAATTTTAATAATACAAATTCTTTCATGATAAAAACATGGCCATTTATTTCCCATAAAACAACCTTTCGGGTTATTAATTTTTCCACATTCACTTTAAAATGCAAAATTTACATTTCTCGTAGCTTGAGACTTGTTCTAAAATTAATAAATATTATTGTTATTGTTGCTATTAAATTATTGTTATTGTGCAATTTATATGTACCAAAAGCAAAAATTTTGTATTTTACGATTTTGCCCACTTTTACCCATATATAAATTTAAATGCAATAATACTTTATTAGAAACTTCCTTATTTAAAATTATGTTTATATGTAGGTAGGGATATACACAACAATAAATATTGTAGGCCCTTTTAATATTTTAAAACAAAATATTCCTTACCACTAAAATTGGTAAGTAATTATTTTGACTGGTAAAATTAAAACCATGGTGCACCATATCTATCTATACCTATTCCGATATATTTTTATCTGCAAACATGACATGACGTGGCTCATTTAATGTTGTGTATGCGGGAGATGCCGACATAGATGTCTCTTGGTGGGGCCAAAACAAGGTCGGTCGGCAGCGTCGGGACGCGTCGCGGCGTCGCGTGTGTTATGCATGTTTACGATTTGAAGGATCCAGTGGCGCCTGTCTTCAGTCTGCCAGAGGGCCAGAGATTGTATGCAAGGCACACGACACGTTGTGCTCCAGACGTCCCCTTTGTCCCAACAACAAATCTACGTTGGGACAAAATTACCATTCAATGTGCACATGAGTTTTCCTTTATTACTATGCAACAAAAGATTGTTTAAATTCTACGTAACGATTCGTGTTTCGTTTTTTTCAGTTTTCTTTTCTAATTGTTTTTTCACATTTTATGTTTATTTTATTTTTATCCAATGAGCATAGTTTTGGCCTTTTGGCGAAAATAAATAATAAATAAATAAGTTCTCAAAATACTACTATGGGAATTTATGGAAAATTGCAGGGAAATTCCTGTCGTTATCGAGTTTTCCAGTAGATTTAAAATTATCTATTAACTTTACAATATCATTTTCGATAAAAATAGAAAAAACAATCGATAGAAATTTGCATATAAAGCTTATTCTTCTAGTGAATAATTTCGTTACAACGTGCAATTGATAGCACGTTTTGGCTCACTTTTCAATGCGGTCTGCCGCAAGTGGCATGGCGACACAAGAGCGGAAAAAGACTGGACGGGACGGGGCTTCACTGCAAACAGACAATCTCGTTAAAAATTATTATGTTCAATGTGTTACTAAGAACATCCAAGGCTTAATTAGCACAGTCTGCATACGTTTGCCTATTTTATTTATTACTTGAAGTTATCATATTTTAAGATTGAACATGTCACTGACTGATTATTTATTGGCGTCCTTAATAATTTCTATGCAAACAATTGTCGAACGTAAAGATTATTGCATCACGATTATTCAATAAAAATCGCATATAATTATACCTTTATATAAATTGCTATAGCACAAAAAATTTAATATAATAATCGTTGTGTAAGGATAGATGGATAAGTCAATGCACACAACCAAAAAATTCTTTAACGTTTTTTCAGTTTTTTACTCGCATGTCCTTGAAGATTTTAATATTGCAACAACGACTTATGATGGCTTTCACTAGCCAATGCGCCTTTGATAAATAATTAATATCTGTGTCTGTAATGTGCTTAGCGGACAAGGCAACATTATAGAATTAAAAGGCACCTTTAATAATTATTGTAATTATAATTATATGAGAAGAATAAGGATAATGCATAGTTTGCAAGTTTGCGCACTAAAATATTTGAGAAAAAGTTTTTAATTTACTCAAGTGATAAGTCGTTTATTACTACCAGGGTTCGCCTGATTTAAATCAATTGATTTTAATCACGATTTAAATCAGTTTTAAAAAAAGTTCCTATAGGAAATTGTATAAAATTTTATAAATTTTATAAAATTAAAAAAAAACACTAAAAAGATCTAAAACTAAAGCACAATAATATCTTGACACTATTTAAACAAATTCATATGTACATATAGGTATAGAAAAACTGCTTATTTTGCTAAATAAAATAATAAAGGAATATACAAAAAAATATATGTAGTATATAAAGTAGTGTCAATATAATAATAATATTATTATAGTGAATTAATTTTTTTAATAGTAGGTATACTTTATTAAAAAAGGCTTATAATTTAAAAATAAATAACGATATTCTTAAGATGTCTTCTCTGGCTAACTAACGGCTCTTCCAATTGAAAGAGCCAGAGAAGATATCTTAACCAAGTTGAAATGGCTACAGCAATTACTATTGTTTTAAATAAATAAAAAATGTAATAAGATTACCTAAATTAAGGCGCGGCTTTATGGCGATTACGCAACAACGTTCGTAAAAATATTTCATGTACGAAGTAGGTAGGTACATATGTAATTTTCGAGTGCTATAAACCGCTATTCGAATTTCACCTGTAAATTTATGTATAGCCTGTTTTAAATAATAAGTACGATAAATATTATTTTTCACCCTATCGTATGAATATGACATTTTCAGGATGAAGTTGTTTTAGAATGCAATAGGTAAAGTTTGTGAAAGGCGAATTTGTTTGCATCCAAAGAGGACAGTGTAAAGCAAACGCACCTTACTTCTTGGTGTACAGGTGCAAAAGTGCTCAGGCAAAGGTTGAACCTGTCGAAAACTGGGACACGGAGATTTGTGAGCCGATATTCAGCTGTTTTTGCGTGTCTTGCAATTTTTTTCTCCTTTTGCCGCACACTTTGTGTTTTCGCGCCCGCTAATTATCGGTTTTGTTGTTGCAATCGAAATTAAATGAAAAGAAAGAGGCGTGTCTTGTTGATGATAAAATTTAACGAATACAAGAAATTGTGTCGCAGGAAACGCCACAGACGACAAAAGAAATTGTTTTCAATTCAGATTTTTTTCATTAATTTTAATATTAAATTAAATATATTACAACATAGAAGTAACTAAATAAAAAGTAACCGAGGTCAAATTTTTCTTCGGTAAATTAATTAATCTTAATAAGTAATCAATGCCTATTTTTAAATTATTAACTACGTAAAGTTGATGCTTAATAGTTACCCGTATACAGGCTATAATATTATAAAAGTTATGCATTAGTACAGGTTGACATTTTTCCAAACGCAGTTCAAATGTGTTTATGTTGTTTTTGAGCTTGTTTATGTAAAATTAATTAAAATTAATGTAAGATATCTTTTTAAGAAAATATCATCCTGTACGATCTAAAAAAGCATATGCAGTTTAATTAAATGATAATTCAGGAAAAATTACCACTCAGCTAACTGTTTATTGGAATAAATTATTGTCTATTTTGTAAGTCAATTTTCTATAAATAGCTATAGATACTTAATAATAATTTATACGATAAATCGTTATTAAAATACAGGCGCACGCTAATCAACAACCATTATTATATTTTATTTATGTTTCTACATGTTTAATTACAATTAATATTCATATTATCGCACATTTATTTCATAAAAACTGGAATATGCATATTTTGCTTCGCAACAAAGAAAATCTTTAAATTGTTTATAGGCACACATGACTAATTGAAAATAGTTAATTGTTAATAACATCAACATGTGTCGATAAACATGTATTTATCAATATTTAAGTCCATTTAAAAAATCATTCAATGATATTTCCCTTCAAAAAATCCACAGGCATGATATGCTGGCATGTAATAACAAAATCTGTTTTTATTGTTTTGCTAACTGTGTCATGTCCACTCACACCCTTGAATTTCACATCTGAATTGCTGTCATTTAAATTTAATTGAAATGTTAATCAAAATAAACAATTTGTTCTAGATAGTGCATTTTATTTTGCTACCGTTATATAAACTGGATGGGATTTTTTGAACCTAAGCAATTTATGAATTTCAATTTGTTGCAAACTGAAAACTTGTTTCAAGTATAACAGGCATTCCTAACTACATACACATAGGTACCAACTTTGTAACAAAATAAATTGCACTACTTACACAGAACATTTTTGAATTAGGTACCCACATAAATTATTATTAATGCATTAATTGCAATAATAATAATAATAATAATAACAATATGTCTTGTGGGATTTTTATTTTATAAGAATAACTTAAAATTTTTAATATATTTTATACGGTTAAATAAATAGATATGTAGGTATATGTTATTTGTTTTTTCAGAGACCAAAGATCGTGGTGTGAAAATCAAGAAGATAACGCAAAACCACCATTAAGAAAGAAGCACCCCAAAAGTTTGCTAGTTTGCTGCAGAAATGATATGTGCAATCATGTCGAAAATCCTAAAACCAAAAACATCTTGAATAGCACTCTATTTGGTAAGTTTTGTTGCAAAAATATATCTTAATTAGAATATTAACTTAGCTTGTTTATTAAAAATCTAATTTGAAAATATATTGACATTCTTGAGTCATTCTGTATAATATTTAAATTAATTATTTGACGCGAACGTAATGTGACGTCATGACTGCTTAACCGCGAAAGTGGACATTTTAAATTTGAATGATTTTTAATTAATTATTACAGATTGAATTTGACAATGAATGATAAACTGTTATTGTGATTGTATTATTTTTAACGTAAATTTTTGTTAATGTAAACCCTCAATTGGTTATAAAAGTGCAAAAAGTACATAAGCCGGATATTTTTTGACTTTTCACGAAAACTTGGCTGTTTGACGTAATAATTTGACGAGAACAAATTAAAAACCATCAAGTTTGAGTTATAGGTCCAAAAAATTTCCTTCTCAATCAAACCTCGAGTGGTATTTGTTGAGAAAATTTCACGAGTAAATAAATTAAGTCAATTTGTGTTAAATTGTTATTTCTCTATACAATAATGCATCCATTACTATGGAGAAGGTAAATAGAAAAATATTCGCCAATTTACGTCACTTGAATTTCTGTTTTTTCCATTGATAGGTACCTAATAAAGACCTTTTTATCCGTCAGCAAACGGTATTTTTGACAGTTTTAATAGGTTTAAATTGACAGGAGTGTAATTGTCATTAATTTTTTTAATAGGACATAACCAAGACATTAAAATGCTTAAGTATTTCAAATAGCTTATAATTATTAATTGACCTATTGGAAAAGCAATGGGTTTATTGACATTTTAATAGGCTTCAATTTGATTCTATTGCTAATTTAAACGTGGGCGTCAAAATATTTTGAATATTTGCATTTTACCACTTAATTATTAATTACTTTTCGATTTTAACAGGTCAAATATTAGAAGACAGCAACGGAGAATCTAGGCAAACTAATGGGCAACAAGAAACGCTTTTGTACTCAAACTCAGAAGTTTGGTTCAGGGCTGCCACCATTGCAGTGCCAATTTGCGGGGCTGTAATTTTATTTGTACTCATAGCATTGGCTGTGAAAATCCTGAAAAGCGAAAATGAAAATTCTCTTAATCACAAACTTGGGTAAGTAATAATAGTTTTTTTTTGGTGAAATGATTCAGTAGAAAACCATAAAAATAATATTTGAACATAAAATATATTTTAAACGACATCTCTTTTTTCCTTTCAGGCCTGCTCTATATATTCACCAACTGCCATCCCAAGGAGGTAATAAAAACTCATGCGAAAAATTCCCAGATTTTTTCGACAGAAACTACGAAAATCTTCTTGGTAAAGATGATTCCAGAACGCATCATCAAAATCTTCTGTTTGAAAATGAAAATGAAGCAGCTGATAGGCAAATGAACGCACCTTTGTTGCTTCAAAACGAAATCTACAATCAGAACGTAAACAAAAACGAAACCAACGCAAAGTTGAATTTAATTCAGAGCGACGATGTTTGCGATTATCTGGAAAAAAACACGGACAATTTTCCCGAAGTCAACATCGTGAAAAAAATTAACAACGACAAGTTTTCACATTTGTAAAGTACCGATTTTTTATGTTTGCTTGTAGAGTACTTAAGCATTAAATTTCCAGTATGAGGCTGTGAATTGTGTACTGCCAAAATTAATTAGACTGAAAAAAATTGGTTCAGAAAGAAAATCTCAGGTAAATTAATTTACTTGCAGAAACTATGCAAAAACACTAATTATGTGCTAGTACTATTGGAATATTACCAATGATATATTTCTGATAAATAATATGTAGGTGTAAGGAATTGAAATGTGATGTAAACTAACATAATGACAATAACTGTATAATGGACTGCTCAATATACAGAACAATTTAAGATAAGCAATCAGTTTTATATTTTATTGAAATTATGCTTATCCCACTTACTATGTAAATAATGTAAATTAAGTATTTTGTTGTATGTTTTTTTTTGTGTATATTGCTTATTTATTATTTTTATTTTAGGCTGTATTTAATTTTGTAAAAATGTAAGCCTTAGTTATATAAAGTATAAATATATTTCTAAATAGGTTTTATTTTATTTCCCATTACCTTTGAACGGCCAAAATCAAGATAATTAATCAAGAAGGTGCAATTTGGTTTGAACCACAAAATTTCTTCAAAAAATGTTTAAATATTTACTTAAAAATGTCTTAGAAATCATAGAAAAAACATTAAGGATATAAAATTTAAGATAAACATAACTTTAAATTTTTCACAGTCAAATGACCCATTATGAGTAAAACAGTTGTTTTAATATTTTTTTAGAAATCCTAACATGCATTTTATCTATACAGTTTTATATATTTGTACAGGGTGTTCAAAGAGGTTTTGTGATTTCTAGGTTATATTTCATGGTACCATGCGTAACAGTTGGAATTCTATGAGTGGAAGTGTCAGTCTGATTGCATAAGAAATTTCACTTAAGTGTGCTTCTTGGAAAATTAATAGCAATACATGCATGCATGCTTAAACTTAAGACCATTGCTTTTACCTTGCACATTTCACAATCCATTTTAATTTACATGACATTAACCACGCTCCGTTACGTGCATTAATTGGATATTGTTTATATATATATGTATATATTTTTTTATAAGCTACTTTTTAATGGTAGTTCGTTTGGAGGAAACTTAACAAATAGGTAAAAAGTATCAACTCGAAGATAGGTGCAAGTTAGCTGTCAAAATATCTTTGACGTTCATTTCTAACCTCAAATATGAATTTTTAAATTTGCTGAAAATATAGAAAAAATGTCCGATGCCGAGCTGCAAGAAGAAGAAAGAGAGGCTTTATCATCGATTTACGATGGGGATGAAAATTTTAAGCAGATAAACACCACCACATATCAGTATAAAGTGAGTTATTCAACTAAATTCCTCCACTTTTTCAGAGTAATAATTTTGTGTTTTAGTATGGGGAATCGGATACCCCCAAGTCTTTTATTGTTGAGATAAAATGGGAAGAAACTTATCCCACGGATTTGCCTGTTGTAAATATGGAGACTTTTTACAATAAGCACATGTGAGTAACAGTGACATTATACTGATGTAAAAATACGTATTATATCCATTGATTTTAGTCACCCATTTGTTAAAGCAAAGGTTATTAGTTTAGTTAAAGAAGAAGCTGAGCAATTTTTAGGAATGTCAATGACATACTCGTTATTTGAATTTGTTAAAGAAAAATTTGAAGATTTAATGAAAGAACAGCCTGAAGAAACTGAAATAGCTGATGTTGATAGATTAAAAATTTGTGAAGAGCTTGATCAACAAGAAAGTGTGAAAAAAGAAAAGAAAGAGCAATTAACAAAAGCACAAAAACGGAGGCAATGGAACAGAACAGATGCCAAAGGTGAAAAACCCAGAGGTTGGAACTGGGTGGATTTAGTAAAACATTTATCTCAGACTGGCTATAAGGACGACCCAATTGGTAATTCCTAAGTTGGCCTGAAATGAAACACATCTGATTAAATTTATTGTATTGTATTATACTTTTAAAAATTTATACATTCTTTTTCAAGTACATTTTCCATTGGGTTCTGTAATCCCCCACACAAATTTCGCTTGATTTCAAGTCCCATTCTTTAAGATCTAACACAGTGAAGAACATTTTTAGTTCAGAGTTGATAAATTGTCTAAATGTTGAATGAAAAGATATTGGAATGTTGTATAAATCATTTGGGGGCCTTTCATATGATCTCATCAAAGTATTTAATCTTGACATTGGAGTAGTTTGGTGCAAATATCTTTTGGGAATAACATCCTAAATGAATCAAAGATTTAAAGATTTTGTTAATAAATATTAATTTAACATACCACATCAGTCTCATAATACCAACAAATAGCAATAGCCAGTAAACTAGCGTAAAAGTAGGCTTCTATAATTTCCTTGGTACTTTCAACTTTCTCAAAACAAACATGTATGGTGCCAGATTTTACATTGGGCAGTATAAAGTATGGTTTATCTTCAAAATTTAGCAAATGCTGACTTAATTCCTCTGGGATGTACGATTTTGACATTTCCTTTACTGATTGACCCATTTTAATTTCAAAACCGCAAAATTGCACATCTGAAATCTTGTACCATGTAGGTTCTTATTGAAAGTAAAGTAGGTTAAAAGTATGCCATACCATTCAGACCAAAGCCTAATATCACAGTTTCCATATTATTTACAGGTTTAGGATTCAAAATTACACCCAAATTGTAGTAACTTTTTAAAAGTATCACCAATCTTTGCTTATTGAATTTTTTAAAGACTATGGATTTTACAGCTTTATAGTTGGCTAGTAAATGTACACTCATCAAGGCAAAAATAAACACCAATTCCATGCTAAAATATTAATACAAAAATTGCTCTCTAGTGTAATAACATTTCTATATTCTACCTTCTATTATCAAAAACGCTTAATAAGAAAATACTGAGCATACTGGCAACCAAATTGACCAATGTTTCCTGATTGCCATCGATTGCTGAAATTTCAGCCATGTTTTCTTTAATTGCTTGATGATGGGTTATGGAAGCCCTAGTGGCGCCACCTGCCACCCCAACCTCAAAAAATAACCTCACATTAACCTCAACTCATTTACCTATAAGTTATATCAGTTTGTTAAATACATACAATAGATTTTAACACTGAAGTTACACATAAAATTTGCATTGAGTATTCAAAATATATTGGGATAAATATTTCTATTGCCATTGCCATATCATTTATAATGTCAGCCATGAACCTCCATTTTTTACAATCAAAATCCAAATCACACCTACAAAATTTCCAAATTGGACAATTTTGTTACCTATTTAATTTTAAATTAAAATAGGTTTTTTTAAGACATATCTACTACCCCAAGGTACCTAATAATTTTATCCTGATTTTTTTAATTTCAAATACATTAGCTTATACCTACCAATTCTAATAGGTAAATAAAATCAATCATATTACATTACCCTTTCCACCAAGCAAACAATATCCTTCCAATCATGCCGGTGCCGTCCTTTAAAATCCATGCCACTGTGGCAGACAGGGCTGTAGCCTCAGCATTTCCGACCCCCATGCCCTTCAAAATAGCTCTGGTGGTAAAAGCATTTGTAATTGTGCTGCAAAATGCTTGCACAGTGTCCCATAATTGATACTCCAAATAGTCCTCGCTAACGCTTGTAGGGTAGCCGTGCGGCAACACGATTTGCTTGAAAAAATTCAACACACTCAAAAAAAGCTTCTGGAATGAAAAGTTACACTTTTGACAGACAATTGTATTTGAACCTGAAATACCACACGCTATATATTCACGTAATTTATTACTTTTGCCCTAGTTACCTTTTTTGTAATATAATGTATCCCCATTTATACCATATTTTTCATGTAATATTATCGAATCCTCGCTCATTGTAAAAAAAATATCAAAAACATATTTGCCAAAGGTTAGGTTTGTTATTTTGACATCTGTCACTACGTTGCCATGACAACAAACTTGTTTACAGTGTTGCCGCTCTTTTTTATTTTCTTGGCAAAGGTAGTCTTTTAAAAAACGAGTTTAAAAATTAAATACCTGGTTTATTTAGATACAAATATCACATCTATAAATGATTCTATAATAAATAATATAAATACTGGACACAGATCAACAAGAAATCACAATAAATTAGCTAAATTAACTTAAAAATAATTAATTTAAAAGTGCTGTTTGATTGGAGCGTTCTATTTTTTGTTGGGGTATTTCGTGTAAATCTACTTCTTGAGCCTTTTTCATTTTCAATTGGTGCATATAGGCCAAAAACGTGGACCATCCTAAACTGCACACACTGACATAAGGTACTCTGTTTCTTTCAGGTACGTAGCAGAAATTAATCGTTTGTAGAAAAGGCCACACGCAAATAGCCACCTAAAAAAGCGATAAGATAATTAGTCAAAACAGAATTTCTGGTTAAAGTACAAAATTTATCTTTGAACTTTGATTTTTACCTGATAAGAGGGCAAAAATTTGGCTTTTACAGATTCACATGATTCATTGATGGATTTGCCTTCCAATAAACTCATGCCAAAGAAAAAACACGCCAAGGCGGCTGGCCCATAGGTCATTTGTTCTACAACTGCCTGAAAAAACAGATCGTGTAATGTTATGTTTTACTATTTTGTGATTTTTATTGGTTACTTTTGTAACTGCGGTCTTCAAGTCAGTCTTGGGCCAAATTAAGGTCGATAATCTGATCCAGCCGTAGAGCGTGGGGGCTGTAAAAAGGCCTCCATATGTGGCAAATCGAACAGCCTGCATCCAATCGTAGGTCTCCCATGTTTTTCCAGCCATCGTTTGTTGTATCAAGGAAGAGGTTGGCCAAATGGCTCCGTACGAAAGCATCCCTCTAATAATCGGATGTCGGTGCGTGAAAGCTGCAAATCTCGAAAACACAGACATTTTGCACTACCTAATTGCACTTAAAAATTCGATTTCGTTAGCGCGCTTAGAAAATATGAGAATCTTGATGTGTTGTTATCGTCATAATGAATAGTTATGCTCATTATTTCTGGTGCCAATTTTGAAACCTTGGAGCGAATTTAATCTTTTTAGAGACATGAGTTTCTGTAGTGTGCGCTATTTGCGAATAGTGCGCATGCTTCGATTGCGTCACAACACACGTTTGACATATTCACGAATATCCTAGAAGACTTCGGGTCGCCAATTTTATTTTGCGCGTTTGCCTAATCATTCGATAGTTAAAATTAAAATCGATAAAGGTCATTCAGGTCAATTTAATACGGATAAAATGTTGGGTAAAAATACTGCTTTTTTTAATTTGTATTCTAAAAGGTGAAAATTAAATAAAGATAAAGATGTTATGTAAAGATACTGTTTTTTATTAAGCGGCCAACTCGGCCAAACGTATTCGGTCCGGCTAACTTGTGCTTACGGGGATCATCCAGTGGGATAAAAAATTCGGGTTTTAGATTTTTTACGGTAAAACAGCATTGTTTTATGACGACATTCTGTTATTTTTTTTAATTTATATTGTGCAATGAAACACCTTTGAAGCTCTTTATTAATGAAAATCAAAATTGTGTATGGAAAATGTATACAAATATTTTTTTTACCTAGGTACCTACCTCTTATTTTATTTTGCTAATTACGGCCGTAAATTATGAAAATTTAAAAACCCTGGTTTTTAAACTTACATAACCTGAAAACTCCTATATAAATATTTATATTCTATTCTATTATTATTAAATTATATTCTATTCTATTATATGTTCTTTTTCCATGCCTTATGAATTATATAAAGTTAATACGTGAAAAAAAAATTCCAAATTTATAAACATAATAAAACGTCAAAAGTTCATTGACACCTTATGTTCTTGTGACACTTCGACAGTTGGTTGTTATTCTTTTTCTATGTTTACACCATAGAAATATTAAAATTAATACGTCCATGGTTTACACTATTTAAGATTATAGGTATTCTTATTATACACTAAGAATTATAATAATTATAATTATGTATAAATATACAAGACTGCGATTCTTACATAGTTATATAAAAACCAAAGAACACCTCTTCTTTGATAAAAACGACAGGATTTGACAACGTCGCGTTGTCAGCTTTCCTGCTTTATCTCCCAGAAAAAGAGACAGAAACGTACACGTAGCGACTGCTAGCGGGTTATTTATAGCAAGTCACTTGAATAAAAATTTGTTATAAACAATACGCCCGTCTTTAGTTTCTGTTTCTTACAGTTAAAACCGAGTGCAGTTTTTACGTGGCTGTAAACAACAACAAAGGTAATATTGTTTACATTAAATAACTGACCTATTTTCTAAATTATTTATTGGGTCCCTAGGATTGAAAATGGGTAAAATAAAGGCCGGAGCAGTCGTTGACATATTGGGCGACGAAATGACCAGAATAATCTGGAACTCAATTAAAGAGAAACTGATTCTGCCCTATTTGGACATTGACCTCCATGTGTACGATTTGGGGATGGAAAACAGAGATAAAACCAACGATCAAGTAACGATAGACTGCGCCAACGCCGTTAAAAAGTACAATGTTGGTATTAAATGCGCCACAATCACCCCCGATGAGAACAGGGTGGAAGAGTTTAAGTTGAAGCAAATGTGGAAGAGCCCCAACGGTACAATTAGGAATATTTTGGGGGGAACTGTGTTTAGGGAGGCTATTATTTGCAAGAATATACCGCGTTTGGTTAGCGGGTGGGAGAAGCCCATTATTATAGGCCGTCATGCACACGCTGATCAGTACAAGGCGACTGACTTTTTGGTGCCTGGCGAAGGTAAATTGGAGATGGTGTTTACAGGTAAAAACGGGGAGGTTATTCGCCATACAGTCCACAATTACGAAGGGGCTGGTGTCGCTCTGGGTATGTTCAATACAGATGAGAGCATTACCGCGTTTGCGCACTGTTCCTTCAATTTTGCTCTGGACAGAGCGTATCCTTTGTACTTGTCCACCAAGAACACCATTCTAAAAAAGTACGACGGTAGATTCAAAGACATCTTCCAAGACATTTACGAGAGAGAGTACAAGAGCAAATTCGAGGCGAAAAAGATCTGGTACGAGCACCGCCTGATCGACGACATGGTCGCGTACGCCATGAAATCGGAGGGCGGGTTCGTGTGGGCGTGCAAAAACTACGACGGCGACGTCCAATCGGATTCCGTGGCGCAGGGTTACGGCTCCCTGGGCCTGATGACGTCCGTGCTCATTTGTCCGGACGGCAAGACCGTCGAGTCGGAGGCGGCGCACGGCACCGTCACCCGCCACTACAGGCAGTACCAGCAGGGCAAGGAGACCTCCACCAACCCCATAGCGTCGATCTTCGCCTGGACCCAGGGTCTGCTGCACAGGGCCAAGTTGGACGGCAACGCCGAGTTGGCCAAGTTCGCCGACACTTTGGAGAAAGTGTGCGTCGACACCATCGAGGCCGGTCACATGACCAAGGACCTGGCCATTTGCATCAAAGGCATGAACAACGTCCAAAGGTCCGATTACATGGAAACGTTCGAGTTTATCGACAAACTGGCCGACAACTTGAACAAGAGAATGCAAGTCTGACTGAATTCAAAGCTATAACGATGATTATTTTTACACAAGCAAGCATTTATGTTGTTTTATCATATTTGTCAGTGATTTTGTTTATTTATCTATTTTAAATGTTGAAAGGTTAAGGCGTATTTTTAAATTAAATGTATTTTTTATAAAAATTGTTTTATTTTCTACCTAGGTACCTACTGTATCATGATTGCAAGTTTCACTTTGGACTTTTACCTGTGAATAAACATTAATTAATTCATTAATGCATTTGGATAGCAAGGCCAAAGGTGTTTGCATTTCAATACTAACAATGAAATTATAATCTGTTTTAAGTAGTTAGGTAATTTTATGCAAACCACTTGTAAACATAAATTGTAATTAGTTGCATGTCCATACATTAATGTTACATGTCCATACATTAATGTACATATGCCATAAAGGTCACGCTTTTTTAGGAGAAAATTTGACCTCCCTTCCCCAAGTTTAAAAAAATGGTGAATTTTTGAGAAATTCTTGGAAAAAATCAAGTAACGAATTTAAAATTTTTAAATAGGTAATTAGGTACCTATCTATAAATATGGACGACTCCTTATTAATTTTGAAATAACATAAATACCTACTTGTTTTTCTAAAAGAAATTTAAAAGATTATCTAATCAGTGAATGAGTAAACAGGATTTTGTAAACCAAGTATATTTTTAAAACAACAATAACAAAAACAATCGCAAGATAAACATATGGCAACACTGGTTCTACATGTAGTTTCAGAAGGGGCCGCCAGATAGCACTTCAGTGGTTGTAAACATCTTTAGCGAATAAAAATTATAAAAAAGATTACCTCGGTAGTTATGCGTTATGCGTTTTATTCTTAAACAAAAGCCAATAAATAAAAAAAATGATCCCCCCTGTGGCCCCTGGACAAACTGTCGAAAAACAAAACATGGTTGGATGGGTAAGCCAACTACATTTCCTGAAAATACAATTTCACAGTACAGTGTTGTTTGTTTTCAGAAAAATACCTTTAATATGAGACAAGTTAGTCTTATGAATCTGGCGTCTACGCAAATGGGTGTAAAAAACAGTTTTAAATCGATTAGACCTTCAAGCTCTGCCAAGTCTTTGGATTTGCTTCGAAAGAATCTTCAGAATGCTATTAACAAAGATATTGATAATATTATTAAGAAATATTTAGAGGTAACATAATTAATATTATTATTATTAAACATATGTTTTATAATGGTTTATTGTAGACATTTTTTCAACCTGCAATACATAATATACGTAACAATTTGGGTAAAGATAGTGTGGGCGAAGAGCACATTAAACAAGTATGTAAAAATATGCTTGAAGAGGCTAAAATTATGTATAAAAGTTCATCAAGAGACAGCTCCCCTTATGATTATTCCGACTCTGACTCGGGAAAACGCAAAGAATCTGACACTGACTCAGAAACAAATCAACCTATAACAGGAAAGATAAAAAAGACACAGAAATCAAAAAACGCAAACAACTCACTTGGCTGTGACTTCACAAACTACAAGTTACCAGTAAAGCGAGATGGGCCAAAATGGAACCCAAATCGAATGAGTGAAAACACTTTGTTCATCATGGGAGCCCGGGCCAACAAAGTGTTAGGTTATGGTCAAACGCGAGGCAGGCTGTACGTACGTCATCCGAACTTGGTTCGTTATTCGGGCGATCAGGAGGACAAAGAATGGCTCGCCTCCAAAAACCTGATGCCTCCCAGCGGCGGAAAAGCCTACCTGATGCTTTTGGAGGACATCGAGGAGTTAACGAGGAGCGACGAGTACAAAAACAACCCCAACTTGCAGATGCACGAGCTGAAAGGTTTCCAAGTGCCGCCGTTTTTGCTCACGAAAATGAAAAACTTTATCGACCACGTGCGGACTGATAAGACCAAGAAAATGGTGGACATTTTCGAGTTTACAAGTCATTCAGGGTTGTTGGACCCCATTTTGCCGGAAAGCACCACTTCCAAATTGGAGGGCAGTCCCTATCATCAGTCCGTATCCAGCACTTTGACTCAGCACAGCCCCATTCCCACTTCCACTACTTCCACTATTCATTCATCCAACATGATGATCCTAAAGGAGAATAATTTGGCTTTGGCCAGCATTTTAGCTACTAACTCGCACGATTTTTAGATTACCTACCTGTTTCTTTTCTTCTAGGTACTGACTATACGATGTATAGTATACAGGCTTACTTCCAATGACGTTTATGCTCTATAGGATTTTGATCAAAAAGCAAAATTTAAGTTTTTTTATCACTATATGGTGTCTCATTCTAGTGACAGAACACGGACAACAAGGACTATAGGAGATAATCACAGAAATTTTCAAAGAGGACATAAATTTAATTAATATTAAATTCATATTTTTGTTTGTATAAATTAAAAAATTTGTATAATTAACAATTATTGTATCAACTGGGCAGAAAGACCACAGTCAATAGCCTTTTGGGAAACCAATAAAGATTTTTTTATTTTATTATTATTATTATTATTAGCCCCACCCAAACAGGGTTTTGACCCCTTTTAAGACCCCATTTTAAAAGTGAGAAATTAGCTCAATACCAAAGCCAATTTAATTTAAGATGTAGGTAATTGATTTTAATAGTTATAAATTTTAATTGATTTAAATACCTAGTCAAAGATTAAATATACTCTAGTGTATATTTAATCTTTGATATAACTCTGATAATAAGTGTTAAAAACGGTGAATTAGTTCATAAAAAAATACCTTATTAAAAAAGTTTATAAAAAAACAAATTGTAACTATTGAAATTGTTTAAAAAATAATCAAATTTACCAATTAAATTATGAGAAATAATAAGTCTTGCTACATAATTATTTAACATTGTAAACGTGGTTGCCTACTTACAAAAAATTAATAATTTTTACTGAAAGCGACAGATTTACAATGATTATAATTAAAAAGTAATAAAATTTAAACATGTAAACCAAAATATTTGTTTAATTTAAGACAGTAACATTGTTCATGTTACAAAACATAAAATATTTCGTGTAGGTAATTATCGTATAAAACTGCAATCGATAAAATAATATTAAAATAATATAACACTATAAGGTTTAAGTTTCAGTGTCATCTTTAACAGAACCACCGCGCATGCCCGGCCGGCGATTCGCTTTTGTCATTTTGGCAGCCATAATAGCAAAACGATCTGTAATTTGACATGCTAAGCGTCCTTTTGATAAAATGAGTATATTATTGCAGTTTTTTGTGTTTCGGTGCGATATTTTAGTGCGTGAGTGACCTTTTTTTGTCTGGAGATGCAATAACAACGATGGTGACAGGAAAAGGGCTTTAAAGGTAAAAATTGTGATTTTGCTTGTTTGAGTTGTTTTAAATTGTTTTTTATATGTTAGGTACAGTGTAAAGACAATATAAAACAAAATCTTTCGTGTAGGTAAGTGTCGAATACAACTGCAATCGATAAAATAATATTAAATTAATATTAACATTATAAGGTCCAAGTTTAAGAAGCATTTTTTTAAATCGTGTCATCATTAGCTGGCCATACACAGACGTTATTTCGCGCGGTTTATCGTGGCGTGTTGGCATGTAGCGGTTTGCATGCACGAAAGAACGGCGTGGCAAAAAAAGCGTCATGTTCCATACACTTGATAAAGTATTCAAATGATTTAGCAAGTGATTGCGCGTGGTATATAAGTTTCAAAGGAAAAATCGTATGTGAGTGGGCAAAAAGTGTCATTTATCGAATCGTTTGGAACTGCATGTGATCATGTACAAATTTTCAACGTGATTTCGCCAAGCGAAGGTAAACCGTGACGCGGAATGCTATTATAATTATAATTATTTAATGCTAATAATTTTTGTAATAAGTTTTGTAGTTCGTTGAAATACTTTGTTAATTATATTAATAATTATAATAATTATAATGGATAAAAAGAAACAAATTTGTATTGTTGGATGTGCGGTTATGGCCATGGTAATTTCTAAAGAAAAAAAGAAAAAAAGACGTATATGGCAGAAAAGTTGGTTGGCTGACAGGGAAAAGTATTGCCATATGTCGCTTTTGCGAGAATTAAAGGATAATAATCCAGAGGACTTTAAAAATTATTTAAGGATGGACGCAAACACGTTTGATGAGCTTCTAAATTTAATAAAACCATATATAAGTAAACAAGATACTGCAATGAGACGAAGTATACCAGCCGAGGAACGCCTTATTGCCACCCTTCGTTTTCTTGCTACTGGACGTAGTTATGAAGACCTAAAATTTACCACAGGAATATCTGCCCAAGCTTTAGGACGCATCATACCCGAAACGTGCAAGGCTCTGTATGAAGTATTGCATAAGGAGTATTTAAAGGCAAGTTTAATATACCTAGGTATTATTTATTTAGGTTTATAGGTATTTACATTCTAAAAAAAGTTGAAAAATTGTTCAATAACTGTCCTGCGTTGTGTGCTTCCCCCTGTACTTCCATACCACCAGGTGATGGTGTAGATCGAGATCGAGTATTCTCAACTTGCAGCTGATGGTCAAAAGATGTTTCCGGTGATGAACTATACGGAGAAAAAGTATTCCTAAGTTGCGGCTGCGGCTCGAGAATGATAGTGTCTTCTGTTAATTTATTTTGTGCCGCTTTATGTAGTATTTTCGTAATTAGGGTTTCAGCATACATCTTTTGTGTTTCATTTAACTTTGCATGTTTTATTGCAATAAATTTTCCAAAAGTTGTACTATCTGATTCTTCACCACAGTTTTTTAATGCGTCCGTGCAACTCTTCATAAATATTTGCTGCTGCATCTCATGAGGTGTTACTTTCTTCTTTGCTCTTTTGGCAGGTGTTTTGAAGTCCTGTAAAATGAAATTACCTTGTTAATATATTATGTTTAAAAATATTCATTTGTAACTCTTTACTGTCACAACTTGATATTTTTTAAAAGTAAAATAGCGGGTTTAGAACAAATAAAACAATTTTTTTTTAATTACTGACGTTTTGTTGAATTTTATAAAAGTTAATAAAAGTCAAAACTTCGTCAACTTAAAAAAATAGGAACTGTTTAATTTGTCCTAAACGATTTGGCATTTAAAAAGTTTAAAAATACTAATAATAATTCTTGCGATAATTCATTGAAAATAACCTTCATATTGTGTCTTTTATTTCAGATGCCGTCAAGTAAAGACGACTGGAAAAGTATTGCTAAAGTCTTTAACTCACGATGGCAGATACCTAACTGTGGAGGCGCCATCGATGGAAAACATATTCGCATAGTTCCGCCACCAAATACAGGCGCATTATACTATAATTATAAGAACTTTTATAGTATTGTGTTAATGGCAATCGTGAATGCAGAGTATGAGTTTTTGTATGTTGATGTTGGAAAAAATGGTCGGCTCTCAGATGGCGGAGTACTAGAACAAACGACGTTTTTCAAACATTTAATTTCAAATCGACTTAAGTTGCCTGATAGTGCGGAAACTATTTCAGATTTGAACTTCGTATTTATAGGAGATGAAGCATTTGGTTTACATGACCATATTTTAAAACCATTTCCACAAAGGGATCTCACCCATGACAGGCGTATATATAATTACAGATTATCACGGGGAAGAAATGTTGTTGAGAACGTTTTCGGCTTGATTGCAGCCAGATTTCGAATTTTGCATACACCTATAAATGTAGGCGTTGAAAAAGTTTGTTGCTTTATAATGGCTATATGTGTGCTTCATAACTTTTTAAAGAGAAAGGCAAGTTCATATGTTGGTGGAAATGCTTTTGATTCTGTAAATGCAATGTCTCACGAAATAACTTACAATGCTGAATGGCGTGACAATGAAGTACAACTTGTCGGTCTAAGAAATGTACGTCAGAGTACTTATTTATCAGCTAAATTAAATCGTGATAAATATGTTACCTACTTTAATGGAGAAGGTACAGTGACATGGCAAGAAGACATGCTAAATAAGGGAAAAGCCTAAACAATTGTTTAAGTTCTCATTTAAAAAAAAATACAAAAAAAATATAAATATTTACATAAACTAATATAAATATTTACACAAACAAATATTTGTTAAATGTAAGGTTTAATTGTACAATGAATTATCAACAGGAAATAAAAATTAAAATAATAAAATATATACAAACCATTTCATCCCTTTCAACTTTTTCCTTCTCCTTTCTAGGAACAGCACGTGGTTCATCAGAAAAAATTTGGCTATTTTCAGTGGAGTTTTCGTCAAGGTTGTCAATAGTCTCAGAAATGGAAGTCTCTTCTGGGGATGAGGGACTGTTCGCCATATTATCAAAACTCTCTGTAGATATTTCATGTTCCCGGGTAAACATTAATAAATCGAAATACCAGAGACTTGGCACGTACTGATCATCACTAGAAGCGCCACTTCTCTTAAATTTTTCAAATTTTTTTAGCTCTTTTCGAAACGAGCCCCTCATTGATTGAATTTTTCTAGAGACAAGGTTTCGATCAGCATTTGGGTCTACCTTTTGATAAAATTCCACTAACGCATCGTAACCCAAATTTTTTAAATTTCTATTAACATACTCCTTCGATTTTACCTTCCACAAAGCTGGATGAGACCTATAAATCTCTATGAATTCTGTCAAGACTTCTTTTGTAACGTGACGAATATCGGCCATGCCAAAATTTTAAAAAACCAACTACTAATATACGAAAAATTTGAAATAAACCGTGGCGCGGAATGCGGCGTTTGGCGTGTGGACACTGCTGAAATGATGAACGCCACACTCCAGACGAAAGCACGTCTGTTATCCCTTCCCGTTCTATCATTGCGCGCGGCGACACTCACTCACGTACATGATTTTCCATATGTTTTTGCAGATAACACGATAAACCGCGCGCAATAACGTCTGTGTATGGCCGGCTATTGACAGTGCCATGGTGCACCGCGCATGCCCGCGGCCGGCGATTCGCTTTTGTCACTTTGGCAGCCATAATTGCAAAACAATCGGTAAAGTGCTTGGCGTCCTTATGATAAAAATGCAGATATTATTGACTTCTTTGAGTTTCGGTGCGATATTCTAGTGCGTGAGTGACCTTTTTTTGTCTGGAGATGCAATAACAACTATGGTGACAGGGAAAGGGCTTTAAAGGTAAAACTTGTGATTTTGCTTGTTTGAGTTGTTTTTTAATGTTTTTTTCTTTGTTACAGGTAGGTCCAGTACGGGACTGATTAACTAGGCAATCAGCAACAAAGTAGTAAGTGATTTTTAAATATTTTTTAGTAATGATAATTTTTAAGTGATTTTATGTTTTAATACTTACATAGGTACACTCAGATAAAGAAAATCTTAATTTAAGTATTTACAGATTATCAACATAAAAATAATTTTTTAACGCTTGTTAAAGATTGTAGTAAGGGACATCCATTAATTACGTGAGGCATTTTTATGATAATTATAATTTGGACCCCCTCTCCCTTGGTGAGATGTGGTAGATCCCCCCATCCCTCACGTGAGATTTTAGCCATTTCTTTGCGGACAACATATAAAAAAACAATTTTTATGTAAAAAATTACAAATTAATTTTTTAAAAACGTATATTTTTTACAATTTTGCTTTAATCTTAATGAACTTTTCAGGGAATACTTTTCAATATACAAATATGTATTTAATTGGTAAGCTAAAATTTTCAAAATTGTTGTTTTCGCAAAAAAAATGGTGAATGCGCCGGGATTAATTTATAAAAGCTTCGCAATCTTTTAAAAAGGATTTTACGAAAAATCTTTTAACCTCACTTCAAAAAGAACATTTTCTTTGATATATCCCTCCACTTTTATAAAACTCTTATTAAAATTGTGGTTGATAAAATTTTTTATGTAAAAAATTAAAAATTAATTTTTTAAAAACGTATATTTTTTACAATTTTGCTTTAATCTTAATGAAATTTCCAGGGAATACTTTTCAATATACAAATATGTAAACTAAAATTTTCAAAATTGTTGTTTTCGCAAAAAATGGCGAATACGCCGGGATTAATTTATAAAAGCCTCGTAACCTTTTAAAAAGGATTTTACAAAAAATCTTTTAACCTCACTTTAAAAAGAGCATTTTCCTTGATATATCCCTCAACTTTTATAAAACTCTTATTAAAATTGTGGTTGATAATAGTATATTATGTATCAAGTTTGATAAACGCCATTTTATACACGAATTTAATTTAGGCACGAGCGAGCTTAAAATGATTTAAATCAAAAATTTGTATAGAGCGCCATCTATGAAACAATAGGGGAATCTGGGTGTCACCGTTAAAGGTCAAATTTTAAATTATAAAGGTTATCGAAATGTATTTCTTGAAAATGGACAGTTTTTCACAGTGAAAGTAAAGAAAATGTTTTATGAGCACTTTACAGTGGAGTCCGTGTCCGAATTTAAGTTATAGTTTACTGCCGGCGAAAATTAAAGGTCAGTACAATGTTCATATAAACTTTTTAAATATTGGCGTTGAGAAACTATTGAATACTTTTGTATTTTTGTATTGATATAATAAAATAATTTTCACATTTAGTATTATATTACAAGAAAGACACTTTATTTTAATTGTTATTAATTATTATTATATGACATTTGACAACTGTCAACTAACTTAAAACTAACTTCAGTCCGTGACTAAAAACCTATTGCTAACTTCAGCCCCTTGACTAATGCGCCATAAAGCCACAACTTGTCAATGAGTATTTAAAATGTCACTTGGTGTCATGGAAAAAAAATTTTATGTGTAAAATTAAAAATTAATTTTTAAAAAACGTATATTTTTTACAATTTTGCTTTAATCTAAATGAAATTTCCAGGGAATACTTTTCAATATACAAATATGTATTTAATTGGTAAGCTAAAATTTTCAAAATTGTTGTTTTCGAAAAAATGGCGAATGCGCCGGGATTAATTTATAAAAGCCTCGTAACCTTTTAAAAAGGATTTTACGAAAAATCTTTTAACCTTACTTTAAAAAGAGCATTTTTCTTGATATATCCCTCAACTTTTATAAAACTCTTATTAAAATTGTGGTTGATAAAATTTTTTATGTGAAAAATTAAAAATTAATTTTTTAAAAACGTATATTTTTTACAATTTTGCTTTAATCTTAATAAAATTTCCAGGTAAAACTTTTCAATATACAAATATGTATTTATTTGGTAAGCTAAAATTTTCAAAATTGTTGTTTTCGCAAAAAATGGCGAATGCGCCGGGATTAATTTATAAAAGCCTCGTAACCTTTTAAAAAGGATTTTACGAAAAAATGTTTAACCTTACTTTAAAAAGAGCATTTTCCTTGATATATCCCTCAACTTTTATAATACTCTTATTAATATTGTGGTTGATAATAGAATATTATGTATCAAGTTTTAAAAACGCCATTTTAGTTACGAGTTTAATTAAGCACGAGCGAAGCTTGCGAGCGAGTGTTTGATAAAAACGAGTGTTTGATAAAAACGAGTGTCTAGAGAAGTTTATAAACGAGTTGCTTACTATACTTTATCTACGACGAACACAAAACAGAATTTAAAGCCAATTTTATTTGTTAAAATTTTGACATCTGTCAACTGTCACTTTTTCCCAATTTATAATAAAGCTTACTTCAGCCCGTGACGTAAAATGTCGAAAAGCCACTGTTGTTAACTTCAGCCCGTCAATAAAACGCCATAAAGTCACAGCTTGTCAATGTAGGAGTAGATACAATTTTTTATGGGAAAAATTAAAAATTAATTTTTTAAAAACGTATATTTTTTACAATTTTGCTTTAATCTTAATGAAATTTCCAGGAAATACTTTTCAATATACAAATATGTATTTAATTGGTAAGCTAAAATTTTCAAAATTGTTTTCGCAAAAAAATGGCGAATGCGCCGGGATTAATTTATAAAAGACTCGTAACCTTTTAAAAAGGATTTTACGAAAAATCTTTTAACCTCACTTTAAAAAGAACATTTTCCTTGATATATCCCACGCTACTCGGGAATTTTTGTAGCGTCCCTTTCAATCAAAAATTGTGAGTAAAACTACCGTAATTATTATGGTTATAAGTTTAAGCCTATAGGCCTAATTATTACAAGCATAATAAACATGTTTGCAATATTAACTATTGTAACAGTATTTAATTTAATTACGGTAGCTTTTATTTACAGTTTTTGATTGTAACAGACGCTACAAAAATTCCCGAGTAATCCTAATGAAATTTTCAGGGTATACTTTTCAAAATACAAATGTTTTATTAATTTAATTGGTATACTAAAGATTTCAAAAATGTGTTTTCCCAAAAATGGCGGATGCGCTGGGATTAATTTATAAAAGCCTCGTAACCTTTTAAAAAGGATTTTACGAAAAATCTTTTAACCTCACTTTAAAAAGAGCATTTTCCTTGATATATCCCTCAACTTTTATAAAACTCTCATTAAAATTGTGAATAATACAATTTTTTAAGTAAAAATTTTTTTTAAATCGTGTGTTCTTCACAATTTTGTTTTAATCCTAATAAAATTTTCTGGGTATTCTTTTTAAAATACAAATATTTTATTAATTTAATTGGTATGCTAAAGATTTTTGTTGTTTTCCCAAAAATGGCGGATGGGCCGGGATTAATTTATAGAAACCAAAAATTAATTATTAATTTTTTTCATAAAAAATTGCATTGATTTTTTCGTCAAATATTTTTTTTAATTAAGGTTTTTTATAAATTAATCCCGGCGCATCCGCCTTTTTTTGCAAAAAACTACATTTTTGAAAATTTCTTACTTTTTAATAGAGATGGGAAAATTCCCATTTGACGAAAATTCCCGGAAACTTTCCATCGAAAATTCCCGAAATTTTCCGAAAGTTTCAAAAAAAATTTTTTTATTGCGAAAATATTTTTTTATACCAGGGTTTTCTGTGATGAAGCTGAATAATCCGGCTTCATTGAGGTTATGTAACATAACTTACATTATTTATACTTCTTCTTCTGCCTTAAATTAACACACATTAAATTCTTATTCAAAGTTTCTTGGCCTTGTATCATGGCCTTAACGAAAATCAGCGGTTAAACAATTGACATTTAAATGAAAAAAACAAGAAAAGTTTCCAAGGAATGTTTCCGGTAGCTTAAAAGAAACTTTCAAAATGAAAATAAATTCCCAATTGGAAACTTTCCAAAACGGAAAGTTTCCTTAAAATGGAAACTTTCCGATTCCCATCTCTACTTTTTAACTCTTATGAAGATACTTAAGTTTTAAATTAATTTTTAACCCAAGCCCCGATCACTTAAAAAAAAACCTAAAAAAAGATTTTTATTTTCTTTTTTTTTAAGTGGTCGGGGATCAGGTTAAAAATTAATTTTTGGGTTGGGAAATAGTTTGGGTAGGTACAGGGGGGAGGGATACGGGGTATTTTAAAGGTGCCCGATCGATTTTTGGGTTGAAAAATAGCTTTCGTAGGTTACAGGGGGGAGAGCTGAAACTTAATTGGGAACCGGGGTATTTTGGGGTCGCCTGATTGATTTTTAGGGTCTTAGAGATTCTATAGAGCATTTTTGGGCTCAGTTTCGTGATCCACGCATGCAAATTGATCTAGGGAACTTGTTTTTAAACCATTTTATTTTTTTACAAAAATATGGCAAAAAAACTTGACCAAATCGATCAATTTTC